GTCATATATCTAAAATAAATTACTTTATTTTGAGAAATCTGACAAGTTCTTTTCACATTCATGACCAGAGGGGAGGTTTCATTAATTCTGATTTCATTTCTGCAAGATCTTGTGGAACATGCTTTTGTGAGATTAAGCTGGTATTAGTCTCATAAAGCAGGGTTCTTTACACAGGTAAGATGTTTATGATTTATTTCTCTAACCTGAAGAGAACAGGTCTGAACTTGGATCCTGGTCTGTCTGACCTCCAGAGACCGGGTTCCTCCACAAGGTGGTTCTCCTGGACCAGGGTCCCCATGTGATTGAGGAGATCCGGGTCTTCACAGAACCTCAGCTGGTCCAAAGCCTGGTCCTGTCCTCCTCTAAGGTAAACCTCACATCTGCACACAGGAAGACCTCTGAGTCCAGACCTCTGAGTCCAGTCCTCTGGGTCCATCTGACAGACATGTTGTGGTCCTGCAGGGGGTCCTGTATGTGGGCTGGTCTGGGGGCGTGGCAGCTGTACCTGTGGCCAGGTGTTCGGTCTACAGGAGCTGCTGGCAGTGCATCCTGGCCCGAGACCCTCTGTGTGTCTGGAGCCGGTCCAGGGAAGTCTGCACGGGTCTGGACCAGAATCAGGAGGACATGTGAGTCTAGACCTGGGTCTAGTTTTGATTTTCTTGTTCCTGAAACCAACCTGGTGGTTAAACCCTGAGTTCTGACTGACAGGCTGTCTGCTTCCAGAGTCCAGAACCTGGACCTGAGACGCAAGGAGGACCTATGTAAGGACGACACCGGGATCACCGACACAGGTCCCTGTCCTCACAGACCTCAGTCCAGATCAGTCCAGACCAGACCAGATCAGTCCAGATCAGACCAGTTCACTGACTGTAGTTTTTCTGGTCCACAGAGGTCTGGTCCCGGCTGAACGAGACCGTGTATCTCCCGTGTCTGAGACCGTCCAACATGGCCGTCCTCTCCTGGACCTCAAACCAGTCTCTGCCGGAGACGGTCTTCTTCCGCTCGGCCGACGGCAGCCTCAGGTTCCTGGTCTCCCCCGCCACCGTCGGCAGGTACGTGTGCACGGCCGAGGAGGGCGGGGTCAAGAAGGTGGTCTCCAGATACGTGGTCCGGCAGAGTCCCAGTCCCAGAGGTTTCCAGAAGCCCGAATCGTCCAGCGGTCCAGAGGACAGGTTTGAGCAGATCCCCACTGTGGAACCAGCTGCAGAGGACTGGGTGACAGAAAGTAAAGACAGGAAATTAATAACCGAAGTTCAGCTGCAGAGCTGCTCAGAACAGCCGAAGGACCTGGAGACAACAGCTGAAGGTGAAAAACTGTCAGCAGGACTTGAAGACGGTCCTCAGGAAGAACTTCACCCCGACACTAAGACCTACTACAGAGAGCTGGTTGTTGTGTCCCTCCTGCTGGCCGTGTCCCTTCTGGTCCTGGTTCTGGGCTCGGTCCACATCTGGAGACAAAAGAAGACCGGCTTCGGGTCGGACCGGATGGTTTCTCCAGAGGACTGCAGCAAAACAAACACGTCCATAGAGATCTGTTCTCTGAGTGCTCCGGAGGACAGGGGACAGACCAATGTTTACTAACAGGGTCCAGAACCAAGTCCAGAACCAAGTCCAGACCGCCTCAAACCTGGACCACATCCTGCTGACTCTGTTTTACCCTCTCACATATCAGAACCCAAACCTGTTAGCATCTGGTTCATGACTTTAGCTACTGTTTTAGTCATTTTACTGATTGTTTAGCTCATTTTAGCTACAGTGTTGAACATTTTAGCTACTATTTAGCTCAGAGTTTTGCTGTTTTTAGCTACAGCAGTGTGAAAAGTGTTTTCTCTTGTTTGTCACTTAAATGTTTCAGAGCATCAAACAGTTTAAACATGAGTCAAAGACAACACAGGTAAACACAAAATGCTGTTTTTAAATCAAGGAGTTTATTATTAAGAGAGGAAAATCCTCCAAACCTCCATGACCCTGTGAGACAAACTGATGGTTCCTAAACCTGATAGCTGGTCGGACCACCCTCAGCAGCTGGTCGGACCACCCTCAGCAGCTGGTAGGACCACCCTCAGCAGCTGGTCGGACCACCCTCAGCTGGTAGGACCACCCTCAGCTGGTAGGACCACCCTCAGCAGCTGGTAGGACCACCCTCAGCAGCTGGTAGGACCACCCTCAGCTGGTAGGACCACCCTCAGCAGCTGGTAGGACCACCCTCAGCAGCTGGT